TTTTAATTTTTGTTTGTTAGAATTTTATATTTTATGTTTATATTTTTAATTTTCAAAATTTTATAAAATTCGAAAATACATTTTTTAAAATATCAGATCAAACATATATTTTAGTGTTATGCAAAATTGAAAATTGAAAATAGTTTAAAAAAAAAAAAAAACCTAAACTAAACTATACGCACCCTCATTTTCAACCACAATATTCTTCCACAAAATAATTTTACAAGTAAAAAATTTCTTTATTTTTTAATTACACATTCTTCAAAAAATACTAATCTAAAATACATTTTCTTACAAACAAGGGACTCAAACATAGACTTAATCTTCTTATGAAATGAGTCTCAAAAATGAAATTAGCCATAACCATTTAATTATTGTGAACATAGCTATCAGATTATCAATAAATTCTTTCTTTTTGCCCTACAAAATCAAAAAGGATAATTAGCACATAACATTCATACCTTTTACTATTATTATGGAAAATAATTTTATCTTTCATTTTCTGGCATTTTTACAATTATTTTCACCTTCTATTACGCCAAATGCTATTTTCATTCATTTTTCAATTAAAAGTTGTGAAATGACGAATACACCCACCCTTCTATTTAAATAAAACAAAAAGAAAATTAATTGTAATGGTAGTGCCTAATTTTTTATAAAAGTGCAAAAGAGTCCCAAAGAAATTATTAAAAGGTAATTAGTACATAATGTCTATACCTTTCACTATTATTGTGAAAAACATCAATGCCTTTTATTTTGTGGTATTTTCACTCTTAATTATATATTTGATTGCACATACCATCATTTCAATTCATTTTCATCCAACTCAAAAAAAAAAAAAAAAAAAAAAAAAAAGGCTTTGAAATGATGAATATATTCTCATATTTAAATTAAAAAAAAAAATTAATTGCTATCATAGTCCCAATTTTTTTAAAAAAATACAAATGAGTCCTAAATAAATGATAAAAAAAATTTAAAATTCAATTTTTTTTTCTAAAAGTGCAATCGAGTCCCAAATGAATTATTAAAAAAATTAGAAATTTAAAAATTTAAAAAGTACAAACAATATTAAAAAATTATTATACTTTATTATTCTTTTTTAATTTAAATGGGAGGGTGTATTCGTTATTTCATAGCTTTTATTGATGAATTGGATGAAAATGGATATAAATGATAATTTGTGCAATCATATGTGTAAATAAAGGTGAAAATGCCAATAAAAGATATGGACTTTTTCTCAATAATAATGAAAGGTAAGGATATTATGTGCTAATCACCTTTTAATAATTTATTTTGGACTTATTTGCACTTTTAAAAGAATTTGGGCTTGTGATTGCAATTATTTCTTTCTTTCTATTTTTATTTTATTTAAATAGAATGGTATATTCGTCATTTCACGGTTTTTAATTGAAAAATGGATGAAAAAAACCTTTTACGCAATGAAATGTAGAAATACGGGTAAAAATGTCAAAACATGAAAAATAAAGACGTTTTTTCACAATAGTATTGAAAGGTAAAAATGTTATTTGCTAATTATCCAATTCAAAAACATATTAGCTAGATCTTTAATTTTTAAATTAAGCTTCCTGGGTTTCTTATGGGAAGAGAGGTCTTAAATATTTATAAAAAGTTGCTTAGCAGAACGTGATATTGTGAATCACTTTCTTCGCTTGATTACTTGCAAAAATTTTGGGATTATCTCCCAGTTGGACCCTAGCATGAGAGCAAGCAGATGGAGGGAAAAGATAATTCTGATGACAAGATAAAAGTATAGTAGTAAGAAATTTGGTAACTAAGACCTTAACCATACCAAACCCTTTTTGGGGTATTTATAAGTTCACAATTTTTGTTCATGTGCTAGGTGGTTTTTTTCTCCATGCTAAGCAATTCCTATTCATGTGCTGGCGGTTTTGAGACTCTTCATATACTTACCTCATCATTTTTGACATTTGGCGTGAGTGCGGAGCATAACCATC